GGTTGTGTGTTGTGTTTGTGTTGCCAAAAGGCCAAAACACATGGCCAAGATCTGAAGCTAAAGCCATACAGCTATATAGGTAAAAATGAAGCCAAAGCTGCGGGAGCTAATAAATTTTCCGAAGTCTGTTGTCTGCCTGCCTGCCGTTTGACGCTATTGATCGTTAAGTAAATTGTCTGCAATTATGCCAAAAGGGAAAATAATAGAAATTATAACGAAACCGCTCTGCTGGCTGTTGACTTTTGTGTGGAGTTTGGTGGGAAGTGGGATTTGGGATTCGGGATTTGGATTTGGATTTACCCAGTGACAGCCACATTTGCGCATAAGTTAGGCCGCCTTATCGGGCCCGCAAAATGCTGGCGATCATAATTCTCGCTTAGGTGGCAAATTGCTGGCAGTTGCCAATTGCATGTGGGTCAGGCCACTCACGAATCCCAGGGCTCCAGACGTCCTGACATCCCGACATCCCGACATTTATATATATTTATTTATAACTCGTGCGGCAGCCGTTAATTGTTGTCGCTCTTGATAAGTGAAATTTACCGACTGCCTTCGGTTGCAAGGCAGCGTATAAGCCATCTTATGGTCCATACTCCTTCAGATTTAGACCACTGCCAGCCCGACAAACCAACTGACTGACAACTGACTGACTGGCCAACTAACTGGGCCCGTGTCAGCCCGAGCCGACGACTATCGCAATGTTACATCCGTGCGTGCTGTCAATTAACATGGCCAACAACCGAATCAATTAAGCACTGGCCGGCGATGCTAATAATGGCCACGCCCCAAAACCAGAAGCCTGTCATAAGCCAACAGACAATCTGCATTCCGAGGGCAATTCGATTCCAACAGTAGTGGTCTAACCAAAACCGAAGCCCATACCGAAACCATGCCAAAAAGCTTGTCCTCGTGGCCATTTGATTGATGCTTGTTGCCGGCTAGCAGACAAACTGTTTAATTGGTAAAAATAAACAAATAAAAAAGCAAAAAAAAAAAACAGAACTCACCGAATCTGCATTGTTGATTATATAAGCGCCGCTGGGTTGACAAATGTTTAGGCAGGACTCTGATCCTGTTTTCACACATTGTGCAACACGTTTTCTGGGTTTAAATTTTTTATTTATTTTTTTTTTTTACCATACTATACCGTATATGTAGCCCCGCCCGCGCATTGTCACTTTCCGCTGAAATGTTCGATTTCAATTGGAAATCGCTGGTACGTGTAAAAATATTTGTGCAACTGACTGCGTTTTTCTTTTGGGCAGTTTCTGTGTCTGTAACTGTTACTGTTTCTGTTTCTGATTGCTGCCTTTGATGCATTTCAAATGAGTTGATTTATGGCAAGTTTTTGGCTGACTGAATGGCTGAATGGCCGGCCAACTGACTGACTGACTGACTGACAGAATGCCAAACTGACTGAATGACTGACTGACGGACCTCTGCTAACTGGCTGGCTTGTGGCTGTCGCAGAGCATGAATGAAGGCTTGTTGATGTTGTGACAGCTCCAAAAACTGGCCAAAACTCACAGCACAGGCACAGACATGTTAAACTGCTTTAATTACTCCAGCCAGCATGTGTATGTACCTATCTACATATGTACATATGGCTGATTTTTGGGCCATAGATTTATGAGAATTCATGCCGCACCCAAAATGCAGTCACAGTTGCATTTGAAGTTGCATTCACAGAAATGTATCTGTTCCACTTTTGAGGAGAACTGCCCTTAGCCAAAAGGAAAGTTGGACAGGGACACGATGGAACTTATCTGAACTGACCTGCAAATAGTTTTATTTCGGGCATGGGGAAAACAGCATACGACGCCCACGCGAACACGGGCCTAACCAAAAAAAAAAATAGGTAAAACAACTGGCCCACATGCTAACCTTAGCCTTTATTTTCCCTGGTTTTTGCGGGAGGACTTTGATAAATTCCGCACAAACACACAAGTAATTTGAATAATGAAGCGGGGGCCTTAACTGAGTTAGGGGGCATCAATCTGTCAACGCCGCGACGTCGCATTCTGTTGCATGCGCATGCGCACAGTTTGAGTTCGATGGGCTGCCTGCCACCGGCGGTCGGCCGCCAAAGAGGCGAACATTCAAGACATCGCGTGCCGCCGGTTTCGCTCCTCCAGATCCGCAGCAGCAGCAGCAGCTCCGCAGCTGATCCGCAGCCCCACAGCCTCCCAGATCCGCAGCAGATCCGCGTGGGTCGTCGCAGTCATCGTCGTCTATCAATTAAACAAAGCGGCGCGGCGGCAGCAGCATCGACATCAAATGCAAGGCCGGCACGGCTGCCAGGTTCCTATGTTGAGTAGGACTCGAAGCTCCAAACTGCAAGCTACAAACTCCAGACCCCTGTCTCGAGACCCCAGCCTCAAGACCCTGGTCCTAGTCTTGGACCCGATCCGTCCGGCCACCCAAAACGCTGCTCCAGTTGCCATTTGAGCAGCGCTTCCGCGCTCTCGGCCAACCAGTTTCCAGTTTATTTGCTGTTGTTTGTCGGCACTGCAAAAACTAATGCTAAACAACGCTTTTTATAGCTGGTTAACATAAAGTGGATATTATTCGTAAATGGATTCAAAAGAAAATTTAAAAAACAGGTGCCACCAAAATGACCAGCGTTTGTTGATTAAAAAAGATGGGATTATTATCAATTAATGGTTTGTGATTCATTTGATGAGTTTTTAATGCTTGAATATAAACTTTGCTTATTTTTAGGATCTTAAAAGCTTACAAAATTATTTGTAATTTAAAATCTGTTATAAGTATGAAGATATTTGACAGTAACTGAATGGAAAATAATTTAAAATCTTATGTAAGCAATTTCATTTGAATTGATGTTGGATATCAATAAAATGGATATCATATAATATATGTAGTTCCAAGTAATTTGTATGCAACTAAGAGTAAAGATAAGTAATTTTTTCCGTCTCTCTCATTTTATTTATTGCTTTGATCCTGAAAATTTGGTTTTCGCATTGCAATCTTAACTATTTTCCCCAGTGCACCCGTTTTGTTTGACTTGGTTTGGTTTCGTTTCGTTTTGTGTGTTTCGCGGGTCTCGTGCAGGACAAACATGGAGCATTATTTAACGACACAATTCGTGCAACTCCCACGCATGCAAACGGCAACTCCAAACAAAACAAAGCCCCCCCCCCACTCACCACCGAAAAAAACGAGGCGAAAAGCTACAAAACTGAAAGCGAAAAATGCGAATTGAGGGTCTGAGGTCCCCGAGCTGATGGCTGATGGCTGGGCTCTTAACTGGGCTCTTAACTGATGGCCCAGCGACCGAAATTGGCGCAAAAATGTCACCAGCCTGCACTCCCAGTTGGATTTTGGGTGGATCGGGGGAATCTCGCACAGCCATCGATCATCGCAGCCGGCTAAAATGTCAAATTGGTTTATCAGCCCACAGGAAAGGCGGCTTTAATGTCAGTTTAGCAATTTGACAAATGACTTGCGATAATAAAAATGCTAAAAATGTGGCACGTTGCATGTGCCTCATGCTCTGATCTGTTGAAAGCCCCAGCGTTCGATGAACCCTGGCCTAGACTATAAGGCTACCATATGCTATCGCGAGCAGCTAATCGGCGATAAAGCCACAGCTTGTTAGCTTGTTAAATCACATGTAAGCGTGGCTAAGTTCGAAGATTGACGATCGCACATCGCGGCGATCGCTGGACATTCATAAATGAGCAATCGTTGGCTTGTATCTGTATCGCATTTCAGTGACTGCAGACTGCAGCTCAGCAGCTCGAACCACTGCCACAAATTACACGCAGCCCGGCGACAAGGGGCATTAATAATTGGCCAACTAAATGCCATATCGAAGCCGCCTGGCAAGTCTTATCAATAAAACTGTTTTTGCCGGCCACGCCCGCACACACGCACTCCCAGAAAAGCACCTCCCTGGACTTCCAATCTCCCCCCCAAAGACTACGATTCCGATTCAGATTCCGATTCCAGGATGACAAATTGCGCAAATCCATGAGATAGTTTTTGGCTCTTAGCATTTGCACGATCGCCCGGCCGTTGCATAATGTGCCGCTTAGATTTGTATCTGCTGCATGCGCCATGTTGTTGACTCAAAACGCTGTCAAAATGGCCAGCCAGAAATGATTCGTGCGATAAAGCGCCAAAAAAGACAACGGCAAACAAACAAATGCAGTAAATGCAGCAAATGTTGCAAGTTGGGCTAGGCCTAGGCCTGCTCCACTGACCGCCGGTCAGGCATGGACATTTAATAAACATTTTTGCACCATTTTTCAGCCGCCCGTTTGGCTGCTGCGACTGCCGCTGTCACTTCTGCTAATGGCCATCGTTAGCTGGTCATCGCCGGCCGGGCTTATCAATTTATCAGCTCCGACTCCGCGGCAATTAGCCAGTCTAAGCGTCTAATTAAGTTGCGCCTGCACGAGCAGATACAAATGCTGATCGATGGCGGGGCTCCAGCCTCTGCAGATGGATGAGCAGTCGCCGGAAAAGAGCAGATGCCGATAGCCGAGAACATGGCAATGCTTTTGGCCGGGCTAAGCACCTGACTTAGCCTGAAATCTGCCCCGGAAGACCCACTTTTTTTGGTTTTTGTGCTGCTTTTGAGGCGTTCGGTCTTAGTTTCTTTATAAGGTAGACAATAATTTAGGCTTTTGCGTAAATGATTCTACTTACAAACAGAAAATTAAATTCAAAAGTAATGCAAACCAGTTTTAGGCTTAGCATTTTAAATGATTTTTTAATTTTATAGAATTTGTTGACAGGTTTTTAAATTAAGAACAAGAAGGTTTTTCTCCTGTAGTTCCTAAAGATCCCTCCTTCAGTCTTAGTTTTGTAAACATTTCTAACGTCGTTAAGTTAGAAAAAAATAAAGAGCTTATCTTCATGCCTTTTAATTAATATAAAATAAAAGTTTTTGATGTAGAAGCAATTTATTTTAAGTTCTTAAGCTTTACATTTAGTATCCCCCGTGTCACTGTGACTCATTCAGCGATTCACAAAAGTATTCGCCAGCAATCTTTCATCTCTGGCGCATAACTTTGCAAAAAAAAACAAGGTTTTTGCCGCACATAAAGTACAAATATATACTAATATCTAAAAAAAATAACTGCTGGCCAATCGTAAGTCCCTGGAGAGCTGCTCAAAGAACCGGCACTCCTGTTCCGAAAGGGTCAGCACCAGAGTGTCCATCTCGTTCTCAGGTGCGGGTTCCTCTGGAGAAGTCTCTTCGGGGGGAGAAGTCTGGCGGACCGGCCTGAAGTCGCGTCTGCAGAGTGGACACCTCGAGTCCCGACCCAGCTCCAAGTACCTCTGGAAGCACTCCGTGCAGAAGGAGTGACCGCAGGGTAAGCGGTGCGGAAACCTCTGCTCATCTAAACAGAATATGCACGGGTTAGCGGTCATGGTCACAAGATCTGAATCGGATTAGTGGATTAGTTCGCGTACTGGATGCACTTGTATCACGGTTATTTTGTTTCACAGGCTTAGACTACAAAATATAGGGACACACATATAAAGGAAGTGTCGCTCAGCTAGTGAAGTGTGAATTTCCTTTGGGGGTTACCAGCTCGTTTAATTCACAACTCTTGGCCTGCTGAGGCATAAATTATTTGCTTTTTATATATATAGAAAAATATTCCGACATGATATTATATGTAAAAGAAAATAACTACTGTATAGATGGATATTTTATGTTAGGATTCCTTGAGTACTAAGCATTACAATAAAAGACCCCCAAAAAAGCGACTAGGGTTGTCACGTGGTCGTGATGCGATATCTGACTTACTGCCGACATGTATCGATAACATTGTTAGCCAAGGCAACACCTCAGCACTTCATCCCAGCTGCACCCAGTTCTTGATGAAGTTCTCATTGAGATCGTGTTCGGATCGCCGCAGACCGTTCCCAGGCAGCTCTTTTGCATAATTCCATTTAATCTCGGCCAGAGTTGAGGGCAATTTTCAATTTGCCTTGCCGACGACGCTCCTGTGGCTGTGTTATTGTTAATACTTACCGGTACTGCACTTTTGTTGCCATTGTTGTTGCCGTGTTGTGTTGTGTGTTGTTGCCATTCAAATTGCATTCAAATCAATTACATTCGAACTAAACATAATTCATGTGGTATGGGTTAATACAACAAATTACAACTGACATTTAAGCAGAAACATGAAACGGACAATTTAACATGAGTGCGGCAAAAGGGGGCAGCGGCGGCCAGAAAAAGCAAAATAAAATGAGACAAAGGCAACTTTTTGGGGCTGACTGGCTGGCTGGCAGGCATCATATGCAGTCGAAAAAAGGCCAAAAAGATACGAAAACAGAATTCAACTTGAGCCCCGGAGTTGGCCCAGCCGCGGTCGGCAATCAAGGCATAAAGCTGAGTGACCTTCAGTATCCGTAAAATGAAAATAAACAAAAAGACTGAAAAGGCACGAAAAAAGTGCAGCCCCACACACAGGCTGAACAACAATAAAATTCTTTTCTCACGATTGTTGACTTTAACACTTGCAGGGATAAAATGGCCAAAAAGCAAGGCAAAAAGTTTCGAGTGCGAGGTTGCACTTGAAGAAAAGTGATAGCAAATCAAAAGTATGTATGTTAATAAATCATATATATTTTTATTGACTTAGTTCCAAAAAACATAAAAATGCGAATGAATTGATTTAAGAAGACAAAGAGTTTTTAATCCTCAAATAATTCTATATATGTTAAGTTAAATTAATACAGCGTTGTTTGTATTTCCTATGTGATATCCTTTCGCTATCACTTTATTTATCATTCAAATTAAACATGCTTTCCTCTTCCGCTTTCCAGAAACCGATAAAGTTTGAAGTTCGTATAAGGTTTTTCTTACAATGCTCATAGTAAAATTTTTCCCAGTGTACTCGTATTCACTGTCATTGCCTGCGAGTGAGAAATAAGCCCCGGCACAATGAAAATGAGCCACTGCTACTGGGAAGTGGTTTTGCTGATCTTGCGACAAATTTGCAAGCGGCGATCTTCAGGCGGAAGACGTTGAACTGCTCCACATGCATTTCAATGGAAGGCTCAATCGAAGTGGAGATAAATGTTCTGGGCAGCTTTTGTTTTACTTAATTTTATGTGCCTTGCATACTTTTGCAGGCCCTCAAGGCATTAAGCATTTTGCCAGCGTGCTGGGCTCATTTATTCGCTGCACTCGGTTTATCGATTGAATGCATTCTGGCTTTTGCCATCTGCAATTAAGTGAAATTTATGTTACTGCTGGTTCGTCGCTTAAGTCTTTTGTTTGCGGGTCGCGCGCCAAGGCACGTAAATTGCCAAAAATCCAGAAAAAAATAAAAGCCGCGAAAAATGTGTTTCCTACTTAGCGTGGGCAGACAGTAAGCCGGCTCTGGCTCACATTGGCCATCCTGTACTGGTCCCCAGCTCCTCATTCCTCATTTAATCCGCCGCGTTGGTGGCGTGCATACATAATGCATAATTACCGGTTTCACTTTTCTCTCTCTCGTCTGCGATTATCTTGGCATGCCTTGGCGTTTTTATTCCACCGTACAGATACTATATTTTATTTTACAGGCATTGCGGTTTTATTGCCTCGCTCGTATGGTTTCTTAATTTTTAATTTTTATGATGTGTTAATGGATATTTTTGTGACATGACCTCCTGGCGTGCCGTTGTCGTTCGTCAGGCTCTGTCCGTCTGCCAGTATTAAGTTCAAAGCCTCCAAGGGGGGAAACCAGGAGCAGGAATCCCAGCTGGGTATTATGCAATCTCTGCCTGTAATTGAAGCTATTTAAAGCTCGTTACATGGGGCAAGGACAGCGCTGCAGACGACAAGGGCGTTCATCCCGAAAGAAGAGGGGCTGTCAATCAAGCGGAGTGACTTGGTTCGGGCAGCGGGCGCTAGGTGGCGCCGCCACCATCCATTTCCCATTTGGCCAATCATCGCGGTTAAGTGAGCGCTCCTCGCAACCAAATGTGACCCAATTCCTTGGGTTTCTGGCTGGCGGAATCGACTTGTCGCTCAAATTGCACGCACAGGGCCCACGGACATGGACTGATTACAGGGCCCAGGGCATGCAATTTGCATCAATAAAACTTCGGTCCAGAGAACTGGTATCTGCGATCTGCCTTTGCTGCTGTAGGTCAGTTTGGAAAATGGATGAAAAAAAGCAATCCAAGCGTTGATTTGTTGCCTGCTCCTGCATTCTGGGCCTTCAATCAAGTGACGATGGGCGCAAACGAGCAGCAGATGGACTTGTGGACTCCTGGGCTCCTAAAACCCTCCCCACCCCATACCCACTTTCATCTCGGCCGCGTCTTAACCCAAAGCTCCTCTTATCGGATAAGAGCCAGGCCGCTGATTTGACGGGTGTCGGAGCCACTTGATCGGCCAATAATTACTTTCTCTGCGGTCTGTTATTGATTTCGGCTGATTGCCGCCATAATTTTATTATGCATCATTAAGATAAAGCAGCCCCGGTCGTTTGCAAATTGTTTACAGCCTATGGAATCATCTTGAAAATGCCCAAATCCCCACCCATCGCATCTCGTTCCGAATCTGGGATCTGAGATCATTTTCACAGGCCTCCAAAGTAAGACTTTCCAAAAAGCCAAAGCCCAAAAAATTATTATGTGCAAATGTGAAAGGGCCCGTTGAAAAACCCATCAAGAAGTTGGGATGGAAATAAAATTACACATTTGGGTATTGGTCATTTGAATAGAAGGCTCCTATAAATGCTTTTTATGAACGCCTCGTAGTGATTCATGGTTTTAATTTCGGCACAGCTATATTGCCTAGTTAGTACAAGCTGATTTTGAGGCCTTTGAACTTTCTGGTCAAGCATCCAGCTTCGTCAGAAAACAATCAAGCATGAAGGTTACAATTTTGAAAAATTAAGACGGCTTTTTTTTATCTGGAACTCGTTAAAGCAACCATGAAGGATAGGCATGCAAAAATTGAACATCAACTGGAAGTGCCTTTATGCATTAAAGTTCCAAAAGCTCGAGCTTGATCGATGAATGATCTATAATTTTCAAAACGGTAACAAAATCCATAACAACGGATGATCTTTTTTAAGAGCCCTTGCCCTTTTGAAGTAGCTGTTTAAAAAACACTTGTGTATCAAGTGGAAGCTTAAACCTTATTGTTAAATTTCTTTTGTGTCAGTCGAGGCCCGTTAAATTAACTTCACTTCACATCAGAAATCCAGCAAAATAATATAAATTTACGGCTGCGAACGAAGAAACTGCATCTTCTCCGCAGACTTGAAGTGTTATTTTTTGACAGTCCGGACGTCAACTTTAAAGTGAGATCTGTCATAAAAGAGCCTGTGCCGCTTTTGATTTTGATATTTTTTTGGCGGGTCTTCGCGATATGGGGGAAAAAAGGCAGCGAGACTTGCAACTGCCCAAAAATGTATGCAGATTTTTAATTAAAGCGCGTTATCAACAAAGCCGGGCCACAGCGAAATAACCAAAATAAAAAACATCCCAAAACCGGTTGACCCGATAGCCAATTTGGTGGGGACTTCAGACCCGACATTTTGATCGTCTTGGAGTGGCACTTCCTTAATTGGAGCAAGCATAACAACAAGTGCAAGCGCTAATTTATTATGTTATTTAATAAATACAATTAATTAGGGGGAAGAGGCAAGAGGAGCCCAACGAGCTATGGCTGCACAAAAAATTACTTAATAATTTCCATCAAAAATAATTAATTTCAATATTATTCAAGCTGAGAGCGGAGTGGCTTGAGGCCCGCGGCTGGGCAGCATCATCATCAAGTTGAGCATGTCAGCGGCAACGGCGTGTTAAGCATTATTTTTGGGCCTGCCCTTAACCCCTCCCTGGCCAATTGCGACATAAAAATGCTTATTACCTTCAACAGAACATGCAGCACGCCCAGAGGCGACTCACAATTATATATACATTCTGGTTATATACGATATTGTGGGGCCCCTTTAACCCCTCTCTGGCCATTCGGGGCAACTTAAATCAATTGCGGCATATGGCGGCAAGGCTCAAGCTGCGACCTGGCCCAAAGAAGATCTCTTGAAGAAGATCCCGCTCCGTTCGCTACGCCTGAGTAATTTCGCTTTTTTGGCGGCTTTTGTCCTTAGTGGCAAATGACTTCGAGATGGGACTCCTGGCCGGGGGTTTATGGCATTTTATGCTACTTATGCAGCGCTGCTGCGTCCCCGAATGACCGTAATTAATCAATTTGGCCAAAATGGCTGTGGACCGGCAGCGGAGAGGGCTTACAGATTGGTCAACGGCAACAACGTCCGTGTAATAACAATGAAAACAGCGTGTGTTGCTGCCCGACTGGCTTGTACTGTACTCATGCATATCCGCACACCATAAATTATGTTCGCACAGGGTTAAGCGCATTATTTAAGCATTCATCACGCGCTCTCCCCGATCCCATTGCACAGTTTCAGCTTCAGTTTCAGCTTCGGTTTCAGGTCCAGTTCGAAGTCCCAGTCCCAGTCTGAGTCCCAGTCCCAGTTCCGAAACGAACCACAGTCTGATGGAGCCGGAATCCCCATTGGCCACCGTTGCCGTGTAATAATTTTTGAAATTTATGTAAACAGTGTTGATTATGGATGAGTTATGTAGCATGTTCTACCTTTTGTTTTGTTCGCACTGCCGGCCGCAGTTAATTTTAAGCTTGTTTTGCAACTTCGTTTATCAGCTCCCTGCCTCCGGATCTTCGGGCCAAAAGCCACCTGAGTCATCCTCGCAATTGATGTCTTTATTAGGCCGCAGTCACTGTCGCCACTTGGCTGTCAAATTTTCAAGCTGAGGAGTTATGATCGGGTTTAGGGAAGGATGTTTTGGGGAGTCAAGATATGTTATCCATACTTGTACTAAATATAATAATATTTTGCTTCCAATTTCCATATGTCTCGTTGGGGTAACAGTTTATCTGTCAGAGAAAGTTACCATGCAACTGTTTCCGAAGCAGTAATTAAACTTAAAGTTAACACTTCTATACTTTTCCTTTACTTTTAGTTATTTCCCTTTTTAAAAATATCAAAAATATTTTATTGACCACCAGGAGTTGCTCCAGTTTCCCGGGCCCATTAGCAGATGGGTCCAGCATGTCTATCCATGTCTCCATGTCAATTCAGAGGAGCATTCGACATGGTTAGCCTGACAAACGGACCACGTTCATGCATTGTTCGCGTGTTTGTGCAGCACATTAAAAATTACACGAGAAATTGTTTGGCACAACTGGCAAACGTTTTTCGGCGGTTTGCAGAGGGAATTATGACCCGCGGGGCCAAGTGGCTGGAGTGGAGTGGAGTGGAGCCATTTGGGTGGCGCCTTTTGTCTTCGAAACGTGCCACAGTCGGAGGCAAAGTCGCAGTGGAAGTCGCAAATAGTGTGCCCCATGCGGTGCTCGTTGCCTGCAACGGTTCATGCGCGAATAATATTTTAATTCTGTCGATCAGCCGGCACGTTTCGTCGAAGCCAATCACACAAAAAGCCCGGGCGGCCATCGACATTTATGTCTCGTATGCCCCCCTGCAAATGCCCCCAGAGTCAAAAGGCCCAAAATGCCCAAAAGCGACGCATGTCACAAGGGGTAGTGGGTGCTCGACTCCGGCTAATGGGGCTCTTAAGCATGTGCGCTGATAAAAGCGACAAAACATTTAACAAGTAATTAAACATAAAGCGCGCCCCACATGACTGCCTGGCTGGTTGGTTCTACTCGGCGGCAACTGTGCCCCAAAAACTGGGTTAAGGACGCTGCTCAGCACCACTCAGCACTGCACCACTGAGCCACCGAGCCACTGAGCCATTGAACCACCATTCTGCACTCCACCCCTTGGGACAGCCCCCGCCTTTGGCAGCCAACATTCATTTCGATTTCGTTTGCGCTCCTATTATTTTTTTATTCCGATTTTTATTTTTTGCTATTTTTCTTTAATTTTTTTCGGGTGAGTTGTAATAGAGTTGCTGAAATTTGGCATTGTATTTATGGCCCGGGCATAGGCCCGGGCATACCAGGCATCTGACCCACACCCACATTTCATTAGATATCCACCCTGGGAGCGGTGATAAATGCGATAATAAATATTCAAGTTGTTTTTCTGTGAGTGTTATAATTTAGTGTTGATTAGTTTGCGCAAATAAGAGTTATTGATTCAATTTCAATTAAAAGGATATGAATGTTTTTTACCTAGCGCCATGGCCTGGAACACCCTCTATGTGAAATACTCACCCTAGTCGCCCACGAACAAGAGACTCAAGCAACGAACTTGTTTCTGGCAGACTATTTGTGTGTGTGTGTGTGTGCTGGGCAGTTTTTGGCACCTCTCGCATTGATATGGCCGGGTTATTAATGATGCCTAATGAGTGGGTTGGTCCCCAATGCAACTGCTACCTGGCAGCGAGAGGGGCAATTATGTGTCATTTGTATGCACTCCCAGAGACCCAGGGACATGCAATTTGGGTGTAGACTCAAACTAAAGCGTTTATTAACTTATTTTCGTAGGGGAACTTGGGTGCTCCCAAGTGTGTGGATAGTCGGGGAGCAGCACTACAAGGGCACCGAGAGCTGCCAGCGCAGGCGGCTCTGCCTTCCAGGTGTCTGATAGCCGGAACTGCAGGAGCACTTGGATTGGAGCGAGGGGGAAGCTGTAAGGAAACCTCAAAGTATTACAGGTCCAGACTTCGATGACGAATGAATAAGCAAACTCACATGGGACAAAAACGATTACAAACTATAGCAACACGGAGGACGAAACATTGGACCCTCCTAGGAGGCCTGATCGGAATGATTGTGGGACAGTTGACGCATGGTGAAGGTGGTTTCTGCTGAATGGAGGACAATATACAACATAATCTAAACAGGCATCCCCACTATCTCTTACCTGGTGTGCGGAATCCCTCCTGTATCTTGTAGATCTCGTTCAACTCCCGGGCACTGCACAGTGGAGTGTCCACCTGAGTGGTTTCGTTGAAACGACCATAGTCTATCTCGTAGGCCTGCAGATCCTTGTTGTACAGCACCACCGGATCGAAGCGATGGCCCCACAGGATCTCGGTGTTTATGTAGCTGGATCTGGCCTGAGTGCTCTGGCCAGTGGACTCCACGGTGCCCTCTAGGATCACCACGATTTCAAATTTGTCCTGCAGCATATCTGTGGCATTTAGATTGTACAGCGGTGAATTCTCGTCGATCTTGTGCTCGATGACCATGGGCCAGATGAAGAACAAATCGGAGCCGGAGTCATCGGTGCCGATCTCCAGTTCTGTGAAGTACTGTGTCATCACCTCGCCCTCCTTGGTGCTCTTCGTCCTTATCAACTGGGCCCTCACGCCGGCTCCAATGATGTGGGATTTCCGCATGTCGCCCACCCGGAACATCAGGGAAAGGCAGCCATCCCGCTGGCAAATAACCGCGTGTTTGGAGAACAACAGAGTCTGAGCCCTTTGCTTAGCCCTCGTCATCTTGGCAAAAACAATGCCGGCCATAAAGGCGGATGACATCACGCCGTAGATGGACTGGAAGCACATCATGAAGATGGCCTCTGGACACTCGGGGGAAGTGGTCCTCACTCCGTAGCCAATTGTGTGCTGCGTTTCGATGGAGAACAGAAAGCAGGAAGTGAAGCCATCGATGGCAGAGACACAGGGCGCCCAGCCAGATTCCTCTGAAAGATGGAGAAAGTTTAATAAATTTATTAGGACTTTCGGAGACCTGACCAACCTTGGTTATCGGGCATGTGAGGCTCCTCCAAATCTCCGTGTGTGTAGACTATTAGCCACCAGATGAGCGCGAAGAAGAGCCATGAGAGGATGAAGCTGAGGGCGAAGGCCAGGAGGGTCCACCGCCACTGCCAATCCACCATGGTGGTGTACATATCCTGCAGGAAGCGAACCCTGCGTCTTTGGAGGTGCTTCTGCACCACATTGCAGTCTCCATTCTTGAAAACCGCTCGCCGGCGAACTCTCCTCATGCTGCCAGGCCGGAAATTGCGAGATCTGCGAACAGAAAAATAAAGATCTTTTACAAAAAGCCTAAAAGTGTGCAACCTTTTGAATCATAATTCAATCATATCATGTCATATCACCACAGAATTTTTTTTCGAGATTAACATTTTCAAATCCTGTTAAGCGTTTAAACACAGGGACCGAAAATATTCATTACTTGCGAGTTTTTTTTTAATACTATTTGATTTTGGTCAGTCCCATTAACCATTAAATGTAATGTCTTATTTCAAACAAGTGTAAGTACTTTAAACATATTTGTTTACCATATCCACTTTTGCCTAAACATCTTTATCCATCTTCCCCTTAACAAATGGCAATGAATATGATTTCTATGATTTATGCAAGTGTCAGATGAAATTGGATGTCTGGACATTGTGTTGTTTAATTTGTGTAAATTAAGTGTGCGCATTTGCACTCGTTTGTTTTTGGACTGGGCACACGAGAAGTGCATCTAATTAACGCCGCCAGTCGCGAATGCCAATGTCGCATTGTCGCAAGGCGGACAAATCGGACAGATTGAGATCGGACTCCAGATTCAGAGCAATCTGATCCATCCCTGCTTATGGCACTTAATTGCAGCTCACCCACAAATTGTTTGATTTATTACCTCAGCTTGTCAAAGCAATGAATTTTATAAGAGGGCTGGAGGCATCGACCGGTGGCAAACACCCACATGACCCGGCATTTCTCGGTTGCCAATTACCTTAACCCCACATTGACACTTGCACAAGCCGATTAATTGGCATTGTGCCGATTGCATTAATGCCTGCTAATCAAATTTAGAGCTCAGCTAGCTAAATTTGTGCCAGATGATTCATGCGTACGCTTTGAAGAGTGTCGGCACTTATTAAATTCATTATTGAGCGGCCCACGCAATAGACAAAAACAGAAAGAAATAAAATCTGTATACCTTAAGTGCAAAGAAAGTGTCTGGGAAAAGGGAAGCTATGTATATCCAATGGGAAATCTTTTTGGCCAACCGTTTAGCAGGTGACAAGTGTGAGAACGAGATGCCTTCGAGATTCGGAGGAGACAAAAAGACTGAATGCCCGGCCTAATGAATCGCATTCGTAACGCGCCCCTAAATCATTTGCACTGCAATCTGCAGTCCACAAAACAAAGTGGAACCTGTGGGCGTAGCCATATAATTTACAACCGCAAACGGCGGGCGGCATTCTGCTAATCAGCTAGAAAAAAAAGCCCAAAAGATGCGCAACGTGACACGGACGCACTGTGCTGATGATAGCAATATGATGGAGCGACTGTCGGCAAGTTCAAGTTGAATGTCAGGCCCCTTGACGAGCTAATTACTGGGCGGAAAGCCGGCGGAACTTTGAGTAATTGGGTAATTGTTGCCCGAAGCTCCTATTTTTACTTTCGCGATTTTCCTTCGAATTAAGGAAATCCGGTATCAAATGGAAAGTAGGAGAACAGTATTTAATTTAAATGCATTTATAATGCTTGCCAAAAAAGTATTAACTAGATTTTTAAGAGTTATTTTGAGAGTCTATACTTGATCTGAATGATGGTTTTTTGACCACACTTTCTACAGCACTTATAATAGTATCTATAGCACCATGATTTGATTTTTACTTCACGAAACTATCGAATTGGTTTTTACCTTAAGCCCTTTATTTTAGGCAACTTGAATATCTTTTTAGCAATATTTGTATCTATTTATAAATAATTGAGTTTTCGAATAATTGCCTTAAACCGACATTGGCGAAATTCGAACTCAAGTTAAATACTGGAAAGTGACAAACAGAACGGGACCGTATATCAAATAATCTAATTCAAGGTGGAGGAACACTAAAACACTGATTAAAGTTGGGCTATAGATGCTGAAACTTAAGAAATGGTCCGCATTTCATTAAAGATATTTATTACCCTAAGCCGTGAAAAGTTTTTAAATCTTTTAAAATACACTTTAACTATAACTCGGATATTTCGCACCCTTTGGCCAGCGAGTGGCTGGATCCCTTCAGAGCCTCGTAGTAGACTCCCGCCTGCGAGGGCGTGTGCGAGATGCCCCGCATGTACTGGCGCTTCCACTCCTTCATGTGGGCGAAGGTCTCCTCCTCTTTGTCGCCGCCCACAAGGGTCTCGGCATCGGCGGGATCCTGCAGGACCTGGACATCACTGAGCGGCACCTGCATCTCGCTAAAAAGACGTTCTAACTTCGCGGTGTTGAACGAAACTGAAGCTCCTCGCCACGCGATTCCGCCCAGGCCGACACGACGTTAAAGTGGTCTGAGTTGGCCCAAACAATTAGAGCCGCTCTAACTAATCGGTATTTATTGACCAAATCACTTAGGCCGGGTAAACAGCTTAGAAAATGGTAATACACTCACCTGCAGCTCGGTTGGGATCGCGGAAAGCCGCTCGCCTTGCCATTTGGGGATAGGCCATAGAAGCTGGTCGGCCGATTGGGCACTATGGTTATGGGATAGGATTGCGGATTGCTGATCACACTGTCCAGGGAATCGGGATCCGCTTCGATGGCCTTCTTCAGCGGTTGGGCTGCCTTATCGCCGCCATTTGCCTGCGTGGTTGTTGTTGTGGTGGGCGCCGCCGAGTGGGTGGAGAAATTGAATCGCATCTGTGGGAGGTCGAGTGGAGGAGTTGCCTTTTCAATTAATCTATTTGGCAGCAGTAACTCAAGCGTCGAGTGGGCAAACAGAAACTTGTGATAAGTGCAACCCAGGTGCGAGAAATCTATTTTTCTTATTTTGCCAGCGCTGTCAGCTGATTCTCACAGATCTCTGCGGTTTGCTGGCAAAGTAAACTCTAAGATATTTTATCAGTTTAATTTATTTATGGCATAAATAGCAAACATCTGCCACTTTATTCAACCATATAAATAGCAGAAATTCGTTATAGTACATAGCCATTTTTATAGGCAATTGAATAAATTACAGATTTTGACAACTAAAATTCTAAGCATTTCCGTAAGCTGTTTGAATTTTCGCACCTTTCTGTACTTTTCACAAGATCTGAGGCAAACACTTTTTGGTGTATTAAATATTATTGCAGATCAGAACACGCACCGTGGATTTTTATCTGAATTTCGAGCGATTGGCACGTTTTGGCTTAAGTAATTTTAGCACCTCCTAAAAGTTCAATTAATTGACACCTTTGAACCGATTTTACGTTAGATGGTAATTGTTTTGCTAAAGAGCCTCAAGATATTTTGGAAACATTGTAGTAATAATAATTTTACGAGCTTTCGGACTTCGCTCTGTTTTCTAGTCGCGTGTCGTTTCAGGAATGAGATGATCTGAGGCCGGGAGATCACAGTTCGCAGAAGCCGCAGCCACAAAGCGACTGTCACAGCGAGATCTACGGATCCGCAAGTCCGACCAATGGATTAAATGACGGCCGACTGAAAGAACATTTTTCCAACTAAACAAAAGTTGTGAACAGAAAGCGTCGAGCTGTAAATGAACACAAACACACACATGTTCAGGAAGAGAGCAAATTACACACTGCAAATATATGGTGATGCTCTCACAGATACTGTTACTGAAAGATACAAGTTGTGGCTTTGCCGCGGAATAAGTTCAATTGGAATGATTCGTAAATTGAAAGCGAAGCGGAAGATAAGTGCGATAAGCTCATCTTATCAACGAAATCAGAAGGCAGAGACACTTCTCAATGCAGGCGACCTTGAGTTTGTGACGAGGAAGGAAGGGGTGGCGTATGCTTGATGTTTTGTATGCCCCTCATGAAGTGTCGCAATATCGATAGGTTGGTCCGGAAAGTTCTGATTTATCAGACGTACTAGGCTCTCCATTTAAATAGACAGCGCAAACAATGGCCCTCGTCTGTAGTTTGTATCTTGACTCGAATTCGTACAAGGTGTCGTATACGTAATATCCGAGTGTTTACCTCCGGACTCACGCGCATTTCGGCTGCATTGTGCAAACACAAATAATAAATAAATTGTGACGTTAATAGCCGAGATATATTCAAACAAATATCACTGTGCAGTCATCGGTAAAGTCATGCGTAGTTGATTTTTAACTACATCAAGCCAATTAAAACCGTTCACCACCACCATAAATCTTGGGTCTTTGTGATGTGCCTAACTGGAAATTTTTCTAATTTATTGATAACCTAAACAAACCTAAATATACTGTGAATTTTAAAAATATTAAAATCAAAGCTACTGGGCTAGAAAGGGATGTTGGACGACCTCTGCGATGGTAAGCCTTTTGCTGGGGTTCTTCATCAGCAAACCATCAATCAAATTCTTGGCCTCTGGACTCAGGAGACCTTCCATTTCCTTAGGATAGCTGGGCTCGACACTCATGATGGCCGCATAAACCTCCACCACAATTTGGGAGAAATTTCCAAAGGGCAGCTTGCCATAGAGCAATTGGAAGAGGGTCACGCCCAGTGACCACGAATCCACCTGGTAATCGTATCCCGACTCTGCTACCAATTCAGGAGCCATGTAGCAGGGGGTTCCACAACAGGAATGGAGCTTGCTGCCCCGGTAGTATGCAGACATGCCAAAATCGGCTATCTTGACCAATTCGAAGTCAATCCCAGAAGTGGATGAGAAGCTTATGAGCAGATTCCCGGGCTTGATATCCCGATGGATGATTTGCAACTGCTGCATGTGAGTCAGTCCCGCCGCCGTGCCCCTCACCACTGATCTGGCATTTTCCTCCGACATGGAACCATATTCCTGTAGCAACTCCTCCACATCCCAGTCCAGATACTCCAACACCATGTACATATACCTTTCCTCCTCCACGGAGTACATCAGTTCCACAATATTCGGGTGCGATTGCAGGTGGCGCAGGACATCCGCCTCTATATAGGGATCCTCGCAGGTATAGTTCATGTACTGCTTATTCACCATCTTCACAATGCACCTCATCCTGCTTGCCCTCGTTTTGCCGCTATAGATAAGCGTCCTTGTAGTTTGCACCATGGGTTTCAGGTTATTAATGTACAGCTTAATGGCCTCGGGAAGATCCTGGGCCGTGATCTTCTCCAGGGTTTCGCTATATATCTTACGTTGGTGCCAACGGTTTTGCAAGTCCATCTGCCTTTGGAAGTCCTTGTTAACGCTGTACTCGACCCAAATCATCTCTTCGTACTGGCAACAGCAGATCACAATGTCGCCCTCGGAGAAACAACCCAGCGATGTGAAAGGCGATCCATCGATCCGAAGGATATTTATGATGGCCGATCGCAGGACCACGTGGCGTCTCAATGCTTCGGTTACCGCCTGTAGCAGGGTCTGGAAGTCCTTGAAGTGGCTTCTCGATATAGCCATGTTAACGCCATGGAAGTGCCGGTCTCCATTCCGCAGGAAACACACCCGTAACGCCTTCAGGGGGCGGGGCTGCAGTCGCTTGGGTTGCAAAATCTTGTCTGTATCAGACATTACGCGCCAAATCGTTGAAAAATGTTATCAAAATCAAAGGTTTGTAAAATATAAATAAAATGGTTTACTATCTATGGTGTATAGTTGAACTTTCCTAGTCTCCAAAGGCTATCGCTTGGCTAGCTGGGTTTCTATGCGGTAGAAACACGGGGCTTTTCGCTCAATGCTCTTCCGTCATCCCCCATCCGAGGAAAATTTATGCACGATCCACTAAATTGTGAATGGCAGCGGCTCGACGCGAATGAAGAGCGCCAAAGCCGCTGGTATAATTGAATAATCAGCTTTGTCGCCCACTGTGTGTGTGCGACCCCCGATTCTTGGATACTTGGATTGGATGAACTCGCAGTTGCCCCCTGGTAATCCATTGGCGGCCGGGGCCACTTAACTCGCGCCAAGTGCAAATTTGTAGTCCATCATAGTGACACTTTAGTGATCCTGGGGTGTAATTTGCATTTTAGCCGACGCAACGCAACGGCTATTTCTGTAATCGTCGACAAATCGATTCGGTTGACTTTCTCAATTAACCCCCTGTTGAGAGATTTATATATTTATTGCTAAAATGATGCGAAATATTAAGTTGGACGGCAGGGCACCGGTTTCTATCTGGTTCACGTTTGCCCTATCCACACCAGTCTGCTTCACACCACATAAATTTAAATAGTTAATAGGGAGTTTAAACATTACATTTATAAAATCAAACAAAAACACCTCTTAACGAGCTAAGAAACCAGTGACGATCGCACCTTCAACTTACAAAAGAAAATGTATTATATGATCCATTAAGTAAATATACTTTCTCAATTTTTCTTTTTTATTCGCAATGATGCAATACAATACGATTGTTGGTGCGCTTCGTCACTACGTGAGCTGCCATCCTCAGTGAAGATTTGAGAAACATGGGTTGAGTCCACACTAACTTTATAACATACCTACTGACATTTTGGTAGGTCATTATCAATGACTCAAACCAGGGGTAGAAATCGTGTGTAAGATACATAACGTATACGCACCTTGTTCATCCACCTTTATGTAGATGCAAAATAGATTGCGTTCTTTGAGCAATTTAAAAAATATGTGAAAGAAAGAAAAGGCGGTCATACTTGTAGAGCGCCATTACTCAAATTATATAAATGTAAGTCTAGTACAGAAAAAATATCAACTTCATATATTCAATTATTTTAATTTTTCCCGAAGCGAATCAAGTTTCCCCACCAATTATAAAACACAAAAATAATAATAACATAATTTTAATTTACAAAAACATCGTGTTTTAGATGTTGGCATTATGCATAAGATAGACTCTGACTATTTACACCTGGTTATTGTGAATACACGTGTAGTAAGGAAAGACATCTTGACTTTGGGTTATGAGAGTGATAGGTGTTGGTGTGGATAAATGCTGAAACACTTAGGAGCTAGTTGCTAATTATATAGCTAAAGGTATAAACTAACAATTCCTACAAACTACGAAAATTGTACAATGAATTTTGCAATTAAATATTCTGGGTTTCGCGCGATCTTTCACAAAATGGCAATACGAAAGTGTGAGGGTGATTGTGTGGTGTGTGTTATGTGTTTTGTGACGGTAATTTGATGTCCTTTCACATGGCAGCACCATTGTAGTGCTGATACATCTCATCCCAGAACCTCTGACGCTCCGGCTCGGGATTCGTTTTCATGGCCAGATTGGCCGAGATGTCCATATAGTTTAGGCTGTTCATCACATTGGTGGGATCGATGGGAGTCCACTTGGTGGTCAGACTGGGGTCTTCGATGTCCGGCGTGGGGGAGCTGCAATTAATCGTAGTTATATCTATAGGAGGGTTACTCGTATCCCGGTTACCCACCCGTATTTGGCGAAATTCGTCCACATGCGCACCATGCGATTTTTAACTTGCACCTCCATCGACTTGGGATCCAGACTCAAGTTGAAGAACCCGAACTTGAACAGGTATCCCAACTCATCGCCGTGGCAAACTCCAGGTCGGGGAATCCCCAACATCCGTTTGTAGAGACCCAAAGATCCATCGAATGAGAAGCGGTACATGTAAACGGGGGCATTTCCATATTTGGCATGGTTCCGGGCCGTTTTACGGATTCCCTGAAGGAACATGAGATCCGTGAGGAGCTGTCGGGGATATAACATTTATTAATATCTATGTATATATCCAAACTTGAACTTAGACTTACCGCTATCATCTCGTCCACCGATTCAATGCCCACATGCTTGCTGCCTAGATAAAAAGATCTTATCTCACGGGTCACCCTATCGTGGGATTGGGTAACATTCAAATCTTGAGGCACCAGGCGGCCAAAATCGTTCTCAATGATGCTTAGCAATTGGGGGTTCTTCCGAAGTCCTTATAAAAGATAAAATTATTAGTTATTGTTTTTTTGTGTATCCTAAGAGATGATCTTACTTCTTATAAACAGCATAGCCTCGTGTGTATTGTAACCCGTCATGTAGGCCACGTCACTGTTGAAATTCTGCGTATGGTACATGTCACTGGGATGTTCGGTTAAAAAGGGCTGTTCCAGGAACTGCTCCTCCTGGGAATCCTGATTCCAGTAACCCTCCACTACGGGCACAAAGGGCAGACCAATGTTGTTCCTCTGATCCTCGGCGGTTATGGTGGTTGGAGCTGCCTCCACCAGTTTCATGGCCGGAACCCTGCGCAGGAAGTCGAGGATGTCCTCGGTGTTGTTGGCACCTACATAACCAAGATTGGCGGCCAAACGGGCAGCTCGCTGACTCGAACTGGCCGCCATGGACCAGGGATTCAATGCCGAACCACTTTGGGAAATCGCTCGCTGGAAAAGTCCCTTGGCCTGTGGCGAAAGCAGGAGCAACTGGACGGATGAGGCTCCAGCGGACTCTCCGAAAACGGTCACCTGGTTGGGATCCCCGCCAAAAGCAGCTATGTTGTCCCGAACCCATTTGAGGGCCAGCACCTGATCCTTCAGACCCTGATTACCAGGGGCATCTGGTCCGGCTGTAAGGAATCCAAGTGGACCCAATCTGTAGTTGAGGGTGACCAGGACGATATCCTCGGCTACCAGGTAGTCGGGTCCATAAAGGAAGGAGTTGCCGGAGCCGAAGGAGAAGCCTCCGCCATGTAACCAAACCATCACAGGCAGCTTGGGCTGCTCTCCGGACTCCTCTTCCTTGGGCATTCGAGTGGTGAAGACGTTGACGAACAGGCAATCCTCATCTCCCTTAAAGGTGTCCAAGATCATGTTCTTATGCGGACAACTCTGACCCTCACGAGAAGCATCTCGGATGCCTGACCAAGGCTTCTCCGGCTCAGCAGCTCGGAATCTGCAATAAAAGATGTTATTAGATATAAGTTTATATTATTTATGACTAGTATTCGATACCTTCTGGCTCCTGTGGGTGCTGCTCCATAGCGCATTCCCTTGAAACTGTAGTAGCCTCCCCTCTCTCCAGATCGATATTTCTGATAGCGACCCCTAACTTTTCCCAGTGAGGTGGTAGCCACGATTTCACGCTCTTTCTGTGAATGATTTTAGCAAACAATGTCAGTCTATGTATAAAACCAATGATAAGAACCAATTTTGACTCAAGAAATCTACTTCAAGGCCCACCAATTTTGGCTGCCACTTGCAAATGCAAGAAACCTGAGTTGCGCAACCAATTTGCATCGAAGTGCGAACTCGAATAGAACCGGCGCAAAGAAGTATGCCATGTGCCTGGCCAAAGTTGCGCAATCGCCTCGGTCAATGGCCAAAAAGCCAGTTCCCGCCTCCGTTCACCTGCCAGGTTCTTGACTTAGTGGCCATCTAGGGGGTGTGTGCAAATGTCAGCTCTTTCTTTGCTATTGAGTCGACCTCAGCCCCAATCTGCACCTGCGTCCATGTTTGGCCAGCTGGCCCCATGTTCAAGTTGAGATTTGATTTGGCTACCACTTGACCACAATTCGGCTGCCCAAAGAGGCTGTGGTTAAAGCTTGGCACTTGCTTTGGCCATGGGTCAAGGCCTCTGGAGATAGAGACTCACCCGCAGAGATCGCACCACCTCCTGCACCACTCGCATGGCCCTCGATGGCAGCAGTTGGACCAGCGAGTTCGGATGCGATGTCAGGGTCTTCCAGGCCGTCGTCTCCTGCAATTGCAAATTCCAAAGAGTTTTAGTATGCACAGAGAGAAAATGTAGTGGCTATTCAAGAAATTATTTAAAATGTGTATATATAAAACTATCCACTCGAAACCAAGAATGAATGCACTGCGAAATTCCCTTTAAATGGCATTAAAAAATGAATTGCTTTGGCAAATTCTGGCTTCTTCAGAGGTTCCAATCGATTCGCATTGCAAAAATTTATAAATTAAAAAACTTAATAAAATATAAAATGGGTTGTTAACGGAAGTCTACACCTAAGAAGTCTACGGTCCTATAATATTTTTTATGTATTTCCAATACATGAAATATCCGTAAGATCGCATTGACCCCTTTTTGAAATGTATATTTTCCTTTTAAAGTTTAAATTTATCATACAACTTAAATCCCTCCATATTAAGCATAAAATGCTCTTTTTCGCCATGCAGTTAACAGCAATTTGCAAAACATGCAGCAGCCCCTTGTGCAAAAGCTGAGGCCCAGTCCAAGTTCATCGGGCTCGATGACAATTTCTGGGGCTGTCCGATTTGTACAGCGGCGTTAACTGTCAACGTTCAACCTTCACCGACTGCTCGGCTTAATTGAAATGCCATTTGCATAACTCAAATGCTCGGTTTGCGGCAATTAGGCAGCGGCATTAGCAACACCAACAACGAGAGTCACGTGCTGCCAGAGGAAACGCCAATCCAATATAATCCGATCTCAGTTCCCAGGCCAAAATAAAATGGGCGTGTGTCCCGGGCCAAAATGGGCTTATATACTTGGCTGTGATTCATGGCACAAATAGACGTCAGTCGGTGGCTGTGGAGCACCGAGATTCAAGTTCACCTTAACCACTCTGTTGTTATGCTAATTATGTGATATGTGTGCTATGCTGTATACTCTATCTAGGTGAATATTGGCGGTATTATAAGACAAACCATATGGAATCTGGTTCAATTGCTGGAAAGGTATTCGGATTTCGTCTTGTTTGTTTTTCAGCTTTTTGTGTGTGGTCCGGTGCCTATGCTAATGTGGGTGTAGCTGGTTTATAACAGTTTCCTATCAAGATCCGATCG